GACAGAGAGACAGACAGACAGAGAGACAGACAGACAGACAGACAGAGAGAGACCTCACTTTTTCACTTCGGCGCCTCACTTTGGCGTCTCACTTTGGCGTCTCACTTCGGCGTCTCACTTCGGCGCCTCACTTTGGCGTCTCACTTTGGCGTCTCACTCTGGCATCTCACTTCGGCACCTTGTGTTTCACTTTGGCGCCTCACTTCGGCGCCTCACTTCGGCGCCTCACTTCGGCGCCTAACTTCGACGCATCACTCCGGCGTCTCACTTTGGCGCCTCACTTCGCGCCTCACTTTGGCGTCTCACTTTGGCTTCTCACTTCGGCGTCTCACTTCGGCGCCTCACTTTGGCGTCTCTCTTTGGCGCCTCACTTTGGCGTCTCACTTTGGCGCCTCACTTTGGCGTCTCACTTTGGCGCCTCACTTTCTCACTTCGGCGTCCCACTTTGGCGCCTCATTTCGGCGTCTCACTTTGGCGCCTCACTTCGGCGTCTCACTTCGGCGTCTCACTTTAGCGCCTCACTTTCTCACTTTGGCGTCTCACTTTGGCGCCTCGTTTCGGCGTCTCACTTCGGCGTCTCACTTTCTCACTTCGGCGCCTCACAGACAGACAGACAGAAAGAACTGGGGGCCATTTTGGTTTCTCTACACACTTTAGGAATGTGATGAACAATATATGCATTCTACTGAACGCACACAGCTCCTCAGGCTGGAGATGGGAGCAGCCCCCAGCCCGTATAAAAACCATTGTGTTCTGGTTAATGGGTCTATGGTCACACACAGACCACAGAGGGTCCGGACTCACTGCGGTCCGTGGTCACACACAGACCACAGAGGGTCCGGACTCACTGCGGCCCGTGGTCACACACAGACCACAGAGGGTCCGGACTCACTGCGGTCCGTGGTCACACACAGACCACAGAGGGTCCAGACTCACTGTGGTCCGTGGTCACACACAGACCACAGAGGGTCCGGACTCACTGTGGTCCGTGGTCACACACAGACCACAGAGGGTCCAGACTCACTGTGGTCCGTGGTCACACACAGACCACAGAGGGTCCAGACTCACTGTGGTCTATGGTCACACACAGACCACAGAGGGTCCAGACTCACTGTGGTCTATGGTCACACACAGACCATAGAGGGTCCGGACTCACTGTGGTCCGTGGTCACACACAGACCACAGAGGGTCCAGACTCACTGTGGTCTATGGTCACACACAGACCATAGAGGGTCCGGACTCACTGTGGTCCGTGGTCACACACAGACCACAGAGGGTCCAGACTCACTGTGGTCTATGGTCACACACAGACCATAGAGGGTCCGGACTCACTGTGGTCCGTGGTCACACACAGACCACAGAGGGTCCAGACTCACTGTGGTCCGTGGTCACACACAGACCACAGAGGGTCCAGACTCACTGTGGTCTATGGTCACACACAGACCATAGAGGGTCCGGACTCACTGTGGTCCGTGGTCACACACAGACCACAGAGGGTCCGGACTCACTGCGGTCCGTGGTCACACACAGACCACAGAGGGTCCGGACTCACTGCGGTCCGTGGTCTGAACCATGTGGGATTCACTCCAACACTTACACTGTTCTTTGGAAAAATGTGGAACCCTTAAGAAAAATATGCCTCAAACCATTCCAGAGTCCAAACCAGTCCAGAGTCCAAACCAGTCCAGAGTCCAAACCAGTCCAGAGTCCAAACCAGTCCGTAGTCCAAAACAGTCCAGAGTCCAAACCAGTCCAGAGTCCAACACAGTCCAGAGTCCAACACAGCCCAGAGTCTAAACCAGTCCAGAGTCCAAACCAGTCCAGAGTCCAACACAGTCCAGAGTCCAAACCAGTCCAGAGTCCAACACAGTCCAGAGTCCAAACCAGTCCAGAGTCCAAAACCTCCAGAGGAATGCAACATTTTTTTTTAATTCTATTGAAGCATTTAGCATTTTACTTTGGACCAGAGCAGAGAAAATGGTCCGGACCAAGCGGCTCCACCTCTGCTGCTGAGACCAGAGCAGACTGTTGCTGATTATTACTATTGTTTGCTTTTTAGAATAATCTAATCTATTTAATATTTTTTTTCTGCATTTCTCCTGCGGGGGTCAATAAAGTATCTGTATATCTCTCTATCTGTCACATTACAATCGTCTTCTCAGCAGCTGTTGGAAAAGCAGTAAAAATGGGGATTGAGTGTTGCGTGTGTGTGTGTCTCTCTCTCTCTCTCTCTCTCTCTCTCTCTCTCTCTCTCTCTCTCTCTCTCTCTCTCTCTCTCTCTCTCTCTCTCTCTCTCTCTCTCTCCTCTCTCTCTCTCTCTCTACTCTCTCTCTCTCTCTCTCTCTCTCTCTCTCTCTCTCTCTCTCTCTCTCTCTCTCTCTCTCTCTCTCTCTCTCTCTCTGCACAGCCTGTGATTGGGCGGTGTTTTCAGGATAGCCCGACTGTATGCTTGTGTTGACTCAGGGAGATTGGCAGCTGGGTCTCTGGAGAGCTGAGGTTTAGCAGACGCCGGCGCACTGTTAAAACTAAACATGGCTAATTGAGCAGGACGCGCACAGGGCCGCCTCTGTCTGTGTGTGTGCGTGTGTGTGTGTGTGTGTGTGTGTGTGTGTGTGTGTGTGTTAGAACCTATGGAGCCCGCTGGGGTAAATACTGCAGCCAGGACTCGGCACTGCGGCTATTGCACAAACAGTTTACAATCTAAAAACACATCACTGGGTTAATAGTCCGGCATTAACACTGTCAATATTTTGTAACTTAGATTTTAATTTCATAGAATCGTTCTCTATTTGTTGATAATGTGGAGGATTCAATGTTGTGATTTTTTTTACGTGAAGCCAGTCAAGAATGAAAAAAGAAAATTGACTGAGCTAAACTTTGTTTAAATTTGTCTTTTTCCAGTCAATGTGCAGTTCAAGTACTGTAGCCTGAGTCCTGGATCTACAGCCTCAGTCCTGGATCTACAGCCCCAGTCCTGGGTCTACAGCCTCAGTCCTGGATCTACAGCCTCAGTCCTGGATCTACAGCCTCAGTCCTGGGTCTACAGCCTCAGTCCTGGGTCTACAGCCTCAGTCCTGGGTCTACAGTCTCATTCCTGGGTCTACAGCCTCAGTCCTGGGTCTACAGCCTCAGTCCTGGGTCTACAGCCTCAGTCCTGGGTCTACAGCCTCAGTCCTGGATCTACAGCCTCAGTCCTGGGTCTAAAGCCTCAGTCCTGGGTCTACAGCCTCAGTCCTGGGTCTACAGCCTCAGTCCTGGGTCTACAGCCTCAGTCCTGGATCTACAGCCTCAGTCCTGGGTCTACAGCCTCAGTCCTGGGTCTACAGCCTCAGTCCTGGATCTACAGCCTCAGTCCTGGATCTACAGCCTCAGTCCTGGATCTACAGCCTCAGTCCTGGGTCTACAGCCTCAGTCCTGGGTCTACAGCCTCAGTCCTGGGTCTACAGCCTCAGTCCTGGGTCTACAGTTTGTCTGTTAATGAGAGCGGATCACATTGGGCCTTCGTTCTAACTTTTTCCCACTGTCTTTGTTATTGTTGTTTCTTGTTGATGCAGGAAGGTCTAAGGACAGAGATAATCCGGGACATTAATGTGTCTCGTCATTTGTAGTAATCAGCTTCCTGGCTCTGGAAGTAAATCTTTTCACATTACATTGTTATAAATATTAGAAGTTACTGTCTTTAGAGCTAGTGGTGTATCTGTGCCGGTGATTATGGGCTGTATACATGTATATATATATATATATATATATATATATATACATGTATACAGCACATGAAGCCCAACGAAGCCCAATGGGGAAGTGCTCATGGTGAAGTTTAGCTTTGGCTCATATTGACTTCAATGTAAAAGTAAACTGTAAACTCCCCGAGCACAGTAACCCTTTGTGTCACACTCGCCATTTATGACTTAAAAATCACCAATCAGATGCCTTCATTCACAAGGGAAACTCCAGCTAGCAACCACCCTAGCAACTACCTTAGCAACTACCTTAGCAACTACCTTAGCAACCCGTCTACCCTTGTTTCTGCGTGACGCTAATGCTGTCAGGAAAAATTAATGGAAATTGGCTCCAGCTTATGTTCAAATCGGCTTTTTCCAAATGAAGGCTAACGCTACGGTGACGTCTCTTACTATAAAGTCTGTTTTAGTAAGTTATCTTTATTTATATAGTGCCTTTCACAGACCAGAGTCACAAAGAGTTTTAGATTGTTGTTGTGGACATTTGTCTCTCACTCCACACAGAGATGGAGCAGGTCGTCTACAGGAGGCTCATGCCAGAACTATGGTACATGTTTTTAGTGGTAAGGAAAACCCGGAGCACCCAGAGAAAACCTACACAGACACTGACAAAACATAAAAAGTCCAATCAGAAAGGCCCTGCTCAGACCAAGATTCGAGCGCAGGACCTTCTTGTTGAGAAGTGAGAGGGCTAACCACTCAGCCACCATGCCATATAGAAACGTATATTTCTAGAATCTAGATGGACAACTTTTGCTGCTAAGAGTTAAACAATCTTCTCCTAAAGTAAATAACCTGCGATAAAAAGGGTTGAGAGAGATTTACAGATTGAACATGTCATGAAATAGAAGTATTTAGAATTAGAATTTTTTTTACATTTTATCACAGTTCCATCACATTTCTTAAAGGTATAGAAGAAAGAACCGCCCTCCATATTTTTTTAACAAAACTCTGGTCTTATTGGACGAGCACATATCACCAGAATGATTGACAATAGGGTTAGGGTTAACGTATTGTGTCTCAAACATCCTGCTATGATCTCATTCAAAGACTCAGGAAACTCACTTTTCTGCTCCGCGGTTTGGTCCGTCTTCTTAGAGTGACTGAATCCTTAAACACGACCATCATTTAAATACATCAGAGAAAAGCTGCAGGTGCTAAGTCTGTTTGCTCACAGAGTACAGTCCATCCAACCATTCCTCCTGAGTTTATTTCCTTGTTGATGTACAAGGCTGTGGGCTGCGGCCAAAGCAAACGCGTTCAGAGGTGACGACCCGAGGGTGAGTTCATGTTGTTGGTGCTCAGCCGTGTCCGGGACGCTGCAGTTGGGATGGTTGGTGCAGGTGCAGAGGGACTGGAGCCTGCCTCAATACGGGCTCTGTGAGACGGCTGCCAGGTCCCAGCGGCTGCACCACCTCTTCCAGCACGCTACAGATCATAAGAATAATAATAATAATAGTAGTAATAGTGCTGGTGCTCAGAGTCAGGGCTATAGGCGTGGGGAGGCAGCGTTACTAGCCTGGCCTTAGCCGTAAACTCCGGTCGATTATGATTCTCCTACATGTACAGTACGTCTGGGTCCGGTCCCAGTGAATGCATTAACAGCGGTTGAATCCCATCCAACCAATCAGAGAGCGGGAAGGCGGGTGTTGTAGGTCGGTGTCGTCAAGAGTTTGCGCCAAATTTGCTGGTTGTAGTTTGTTGTTGAGATGTCTACTGTCGTTGTGTCCTTGGGCAAGACACTTAACCCCACGTTGCCTGAAGCCCCCACTGAAAGACCAAGGCTGTATCACCGCTGACGGAGCAGCCATCTTCCTGTGGACCCACCCCCTGCAGAGGATCAGAGGGACTGGTGCTGTGAGCATTGGATGGCAGCTCCCGACGGCCCTCCCGACCCAGAAATGGACTAATAAAGGGATTGAAAATGAATGAATGAATGGACAGCACAAACATAAAATCAGTGACGTCGCCCGGCATGGCGCAGCCGGGGCCCCACCCTGGAGCCAGGCCTGGGGTACTGGAGAGGAGGCTACGGCCGATGGTCGAATCTCGGATCCAGGAGGGGCAGTGTGGTTTTCGTCCCGGTCGCGGAACACTGGACCAGCTCTATACTCTCCATCGGATACTCGAGGGTTCTGTCCACATGTGCTTTGTGAATTTGGAGAAGGCGTTCGACTGTGTTCCCCGGGGTGTCCTTTGGGGGGTTCTCCGGGAGTACGGGGTCGGGGGTCCTCTGCTGAGGGCCATCCGATCCCTGTATGACCGGAGCCAGAGCTGTGTTCGCATTGCCGGCAGTAAGTCAGACCTGTTCCCGGTGAATGTTGGCCTCCGACAGGGCTGCCCTTTGTCACCGGTTCTGTTCACTGTATTTATGGACAGAATATCTAGGCGCAGCCAGGGGTCGGAGGGGGTCCGGTTCGGGGACCACAGGATTTCATCTCTGCTGTTTGCGAGTGAGGGAAGAATGGAGCGTGAGATTGACAGGCGGATCGGTGCAGCGTGCGCAGTGATGCGGTCTCTGTATCGGACCGTTGTGGTAAAGAGGGAGCAGCGTCTGCAGTCAGAGCTGTATCGGACCGTTGTGGTAAAGAGGGAGCTGAGCCGAAAGGCGAAGCTCTCGATTTACCGGTCAATCTTCGTTCCCTCCCTCACCTATGGTCATGAGCTTTGGGTAATGACCGAAAGAACGAGATCGCGGATACAAGCGGTCGAAATGAGCTTCCTCCGCAGAGTGGCTGGGCGCTCCCTTAGAGATAGGGTGAGGAGCTCAGTCACACGGGAGGAGCTCGGAGTAGAACCGCTGCTTCTCCACGTCGAGAGGAACCAGTTGAGGTGGCTCGGGCATCTGTTCCAGATGCCTCCTGGACGCCTCCCTGGGGAGGTGTTCCGGGCACGTCCCACCGGGAGGAGGCCCCGCGGAAGACCTAGGACACGCTGGAGGGACTATGTCTCTCAGCTGGCCTGGGAACGCCTTGGGGTCCCCCCGGACGAGCTGGAGGAAGTGTGTGTGGATAGGGAAGTCTGGGCGTCTCTGCTTAGACTGCTGCCCCCGCGACCCGGCAACGGATAAAGCGGAAGAAAATGGATGGATGGATGGATGAATGAATGAAATGAATGAGTTTGTTGGAGAATGCGATAATAAAGTAAGCTTTTCTGGTTCAAAACTGAAGCCGGAGCAAGAGGAATGTTTAGTAAATGTCATTGAATTAAAGATGTTGTGGCTCTACTCCCCACGGGCTCCGTTAGTGGCAAAGGAGATGGCTAAAGTTAGGCTAAATGCTAAAGCTAGGCTAAATGCTAAATGCCTCACTCACTCGGGCGCATTACAAACGTCACAGTAAACTCAGATCCAATCGTTTCAATCTGTAAAAGAAGTTAACCCCTCCCACCTGTTCACGGAGTCAATGGAGATAATCCAGACCTTGGTACCAAATGAAATGTGTACGATGGTGTGGTAAAACCAGACTACAGTATTTCAGGTGCATGCCCCAATAATCTGCATCATTAATACTTTTGTACAGTTTTAATTCTGACATTCCGTCTGAAATGTTTCTTTCATAGCACCCATTTTAATCTTTTGTTTTCAAATGTTTGTAAATGTGAATGATTTTATGTCTGCGTGAAGAACTTTGGGTTGCACTGCATGAACTGTGCTTTATAAATAAACTTCATTGATTGATAAATAATAATACAATGTTTTTTTTACGGCACTTTTCTGGATACTCAAAGACACTTCACATCTGGGGATCAAGAAAGTATCTACACTGCAAAAAATGATATAATATGAGGTAATAAATGCTTGAATCGAGTGATTTTTATCTTAATCTGACACATTCTGTTGAAACATGATTCTCCAACGGGACAAAGACATTTAGTTTTATTTCAACAACTGTGGCTTTTTTTTCCACATTTAGCGAGAAATTTCTTGTATCTTTTTAAGCAAGAAACATGCGCTTTGTCCCATCGGCAAATCTTGATTTAGGGCTCAGTCAGAATGTGCTCAAAGTAAGTGCTCATGTGCTCATTTTGTGAAATTTGATCAACTTTTGACTTATTTTTCCTCACTTTTTGCAGAGTATCTATCTATGATTCTTTCACTCCATACACAGTGGGGAGAAACTACATCGATAGATACTTTGTTGATCCCTTAGGACAAAGGTGTCAAAGTCAAGGCCCGGGGGCCAGATCCGGCCCGAGAGACCATTTCCAGTGGCCCCTGAGATAATTTTAGATTATTATATTAAAAAGCAGCATTGATTAAGTATTCAGCGACAACGGCATGTTATCCATTACTAAGAAAACAACCATAACATTTAATTCCATAAGAAATGTGAAGCCAACATGTAATTAGAAGAGAGTATTATATTGTTATGTTTTTTACGAGTCTTCAATTACCTTTAAGATATGAAGGAGGATTTCCTAATTTTCTTAGGAAAGAACCGCCCTCTCCACTTTTTGAACAAAACTCTCTTTGTCTTATTAGACAAGCACGTATCACCAGAATGATTGACAGTTGGGAGGACCAATACTGTAGTATTGATGATCCACCTGGAAGAAGAAAATCTTCCTTTATACCTTCAGTATTTGGTCCAGTTTTGGTCCAGTTTTGTTTCAGTTTTGTTTCAGTCCACAGGAACTGGACTAATTATAAAAAGAGATTTCAATGAAGCTATCCTTAAATAAATAAATAATTAGAAAAGATGTTTAAATCTAACTAATGTGAAACAAGTCATTTATAAAGAAACCTTCATATTCCAAAAAAAATGTTGTAAATAAAACCCACTTATTCTTTCGGCCCCTGACCAGCAAATACAGTAAGTTCGACACCTCTGCGTCAGGAGAACACATCCAACCATACAAACAAATAAATGCAAAAGGCTGCTCTAGATCAGTGTAAAACTATGAGCCATGAACGACTGCTGTAGCCACAGCTGCCCTGGGGCACAGTGACTGAAGCGAGGCAACCAGTCTGTGCCACCGGCCCCTCCCACCTCCACCAACCACTCACACACACACCAGACTCATTCTGCCTAAAGACATAGCAACATCTTGGCACTTTACAGCCACGGCCGCCCCACAGAGGTCTCCCATCACTGCACTAACCACGCCCTGCCCTGCTTAGCTTCTATCTGGCTGTCATCGTACCTGCATGAGAGAGAGCTGTGGGTTTGTGGGAGGGTGGAATGCTTGGGGACGTGGGAGAGAGCCCTGCAGGTGTTCAGCGCGGTGCTAATGGGCCGTGCATCAGCGCCGCTCGTTCACAACAAACTCTCACAACATTCGACCTGTGAAGAGCAGTCCTTTTGAAGACGCCAAATGTGCTGCTCAAGGGTCACACCCGGAGCAGTCATTTTGACGGCTCTTCACCTTTCAAATCATTGGGATTCAGAGAAATTCCCCAAAAAACATAATTAGTTTTTCACCAGATTTATCAACGCAGAAGCATGGAACTACTAGACCTCCCAGTGCCGTCATTTTGACTGCTCCCGTTCAAATCAATGAAAACCTGGAAAGTCAGTGAGTTTAATATCAGTTTCATTCAAATGTACCTTTGCTCACTTTTAATAAGTGCTAAAACTGGTGAATTTAACCAGAAATACAGTATGTTCAAAGGCTAATGCTAACTGGTAGCACGTTAACAGTATGTTGCTGTGGTTACCAGGTCTTCTCTACTCCATTAAAAAAAAAAAAAAAGATAATTTCATAAAGATAATGACATAGAAAGAAAAGAAACTGAAAAAGTCACAAAGTTATGAGGACACACACCCAAAAAGGTGTCAAATTGACTGCTCTGGGAGTCGTGTTAAAAGTAAGACATTTAGAAGTTTTTTACCATTGCTAACCTTTTAATACCTGAAATAAGTGGCTCTCCCTGGGAAATGAACGATGCTATAATATAAATAAACTTGCCTTGGCAGGGAATCAAACACAACATCTATAACGTTAATAATTACCTTATACAAAACATTTTAAGTGATATTAGAAAAGTAAAAGCAAGTTTGCCTTTATGTGGAAAAAACAGACAGAGCAGTTGAAGCGTAAAACCCTCATGGCCAGAAATATGGGTTAGAAATGTATATTATTATTATTATTGTAGGACTGAGAGCCGTTATTGGACAGGAAGTGAAGCATGTCTCAGGTGGAAGCAGAGCGTGAAAGCAAAGAACATGGATGACCCAGATAAGAGGATGAATATCTGCACATCTGGAGGAGCCTCACACCTGTGCACGGGACCACGGTCTGTCCAGGATTCACTCTGAAAACACACAAATATGGACCGTCACACAACTATATATTTATGTATTTCTCCTGATTAAGAAGAACTTGTATTTGGGAAGAAAAAAAGCAGCAAAAGTGACAAATAAAATAAAAAAAAATCATGTTTTTTCAGTTATTTTCTTGGATGATCGTTTTTAACTACAGACAGACCAGGGCAAAGTGCGGCTCAGGGGCCACAGACGGTCCGATTTACATTTCTACATGGCCCTCGGACCTTTTCCCAACTGTAGAGTGTCTATTTAAATGAATGGGAATCAACGACCAATGAAAGATTGAAACCTCATGAGAGGGACAATGGCATGTTATACCTCATAGTAATTCCTCCGTCAACAAGAATTAAACTTCTTTGGCTTGAGTCCAGTTTTAGTTCAGTCCGAGCAGGAATTTAAGTTTAAGGACAACTAGAAAATAATAATTGGATAAAATAATAAAGTACCTCCCACATTGGAAAACTTCAGGTTTCTGTAAATGTTGTTCTTTATCAAATACTGTATATACATTTTTGAGATTCCAGAGAGAGAGACCAGAGAGAGAGACCAGAGAGAGACCAGAGAGAGACCAGAGAGAGACCAGAGAGAGACCAGAGAGAGACCAGAGAGAGACCAGAGGAAGAGACCAGAGAGAGATCAGAGAGAGACCAGAGAGAGATCAGAGAGAGACCAGAGAGAGAGACCAGAGAGAGACCAGAGAGAGGCTAGAGAGAGACCAGAGAGAGACCAGAGAGAGAGAGAGAGACCAGAGAGAGACCAGAGAGAGACCAGAGAGAGAGACCAGAGAGGCCAGAAAGAGAGACCAGAGAGAGACAAGAGAGAGAGACCAGGGAGAGACCAGGGAGAGGCCAGAGAGAGAGAGACCAGAGAGAGAGACCAGAGAGAGAGACCAGAGAGAGGCCAGGGAGGGAGACCAGAAAGAGAGAAGCCAGAGATGTACGAGAGTGAGCGCAGAGAAAGAGACCAGAAAGAGAGACGAAAGAGAGACCAGGGAGAGAGACCAGAGAGAGAGACCAGAGAGAGCAGAGAGGGACAAGAGTGAGAGCAGAGAGAGAGAGACCCGAGACTAAAGATAGACCAGACAGAGACCAGAGGGAGAGACCACAGAAAGACCAAAAAGAGAGACTAGAGAGAGGCCAGGAACAGCCACCAGAAAGAGGGTAGAGAGAGAGACCAGAGAGAAAGACCAAAGTGAGAGACCTAGGGAAAAGACTAGAGAGAGACCAGAGAGACCCAGAAAGAGAGACCAGAGAGAGAGACCAAAGGGAGTTGCTCCGCTCTGACATAGGACTGTGAGCTGCCTTTTCTGGAGGTTCTTTATGAATCCAGACTTTTAAATCCAGCTCTTGGAATAATCAATCGAACAACATTGAGCACTGAGTAAAAGCGTGAGTGAGTTTAAAAACACGTACAGGTCCTCGCCGCCTGCGGACACTTATCCATTCTGTGGTCCGCGCTGTCATTGCCGCCGCGGCCAAACCCAGAGTGAATTACAATAGCTTTGAGGACACTGAGCAGAAGAAAGTGCGTTGCCAGAGAGGGGTTAGACGTCTCACGGCACCGCACCCTCGCATCCAGACGCTCCCTTGAATGCGGCGGCGTTTTGGCGATGACGGTATACGGGCGTCCTGCAGCCTGTCGCACGGCGTGGAGGTCGCACGGCAAGAGAGAGATCAAAGCAAACGACTCTCTCCATGGAATCTGCAAAAACACACGCAGGCCTCAAAAGTGGACAGCCTCACGCACCACGGAAACACACACGGAAAGAGAAAGAGTTTGGATGAATGAGTCGTGGAAAGAGACTCGGGATAAGAATTAGCCAATGCTAACATATAGCATCTTCTTACCTCTCGAAAACGTCTTTACAGGATGGTCCAAAAGTTGGCTCTTGGCCCAAAGCTCCGTTCCACATGTGTGTCAATGCTGAGTGTTCTGGACCAGTCTAGTTTAGTCGCTGTGGACTTTAGAAGTCTCTTGTTTAAATGAATGGAGCTCGTGCAGCTGATGCATGCGCAGATGTGTTTTTTCACATTTTCCAGCCCCCGCGGCCATTTTGAAACTGCCCATAGACCACGGAAGTTGTGGCACATTAGTTAGAACGGCGGAGATAGGTGTGACTACGTCTGTTAATGTTTACAGTCTATGGTTTAAACAAAGCCGACTCTGCCTCAACAGAGAACAGTCACCACCTGCTGCTGTCAAACTTTAATACTGTTGTAACTTTTAGAACAATGTATCTATTTGTTGTTTGGATGGAGGATTTTCTGCTGCTGCTCACCTGGATCTATCTATCTATCTATCTATCATCCATCCATCCATCCATTTTCTTCCGCTTCATCCGTTGCCGGGTCGCGGGGGCAGCAGTCTAAGCAGAGACGCCCAGACTTCCCTATCCACACACACTTCCTCCAGCTCGTCCGGGGGGACCCCAAGGCGTTCCCAGGCCAGCTGAGAGACATAGTCCCTCCAGCGTGTCCTGGGTCTTCCCCGGGGCCTCCTCCCGGTGGGACGTGCCCGGAACACCTCCCCAGGGAGGCGTCCAGGAGGCATCCAAAGGTCAGATGATACGACAACAAAGTCGAACATCGACCTGCGGCCTAGGGTGTCCTGGTGCCACGTGCACTGGTGGAAACCCTTGTGTCGAACATGGTGTTCGTGATGGACAAGCTGTGACGACCCCAGAAGTCCAACAACTGAACACCGCTCGGGTTCAGATCAGGGCCGTTCTTCCCGATCACCTCTCTCCTATCATCTATCTATCTATCTACAGTATCTATCCATCTATATATCTACAGTATCTATCCATCTATCCATCCATCCATCTACTGTATCATGTTTTTATCCAGTGGAGGCCGGAGCCATATTTGATCATACATTTTTAAACTGCGTTCTTCAGTATAACACAATATAAAAATGTGGGGTTGCCAAACTGTTGGTGTGTCCTTAGGCAAGACACTTCCCCCACATTAGAAAGAGTCTGGTGTGTGTGTGAATGGTTGGTGGTGGTGGGAGGGGCACATACTGGTTGCCTCGCTCTGATAGTAGTTTAGCAGTTAGAGATTTCTTTTTTACGCTAAAGTTGGATTTTATTTTATCTTAGTATTCCTGTTCATTTATCTTGTGCTGTGTGTTCTTTATTCCTACTGTTCTGCGGCTGGTGATGCAACACTGGCATTTCCCTGGCTGTGGGCCCGATAAGGAATCTCTTAATTACACGGGATGCGGCTCCGAACACTGGGTCCGTGCACTGGGTCCAGCTGAAACATCGCAGAGGTGTTTTGAAGGCTGTTTTGTCTTTGTGTTGATTATTCATCTGGTATTTGCTTTTCTTAGTCAGAGGACGGAACATTCCTGCATAATCCATCACTGGGGTCGGAGCCCAATGCTCATAAACATCTTTATTAGCATACGGCATAATCTGTTGCACTCTCCCCCCTGTCTCACCTCTCTCCTGTGCCTCAGCCTGGGACGTCTTATCTGCCTGACAGGCCGCTAATAAAACACACTGAGTATATGTGTGAGAGAGAATGGGGCTAACAAGAATGGTGTGTGTGGCTCGGTGCCCGTTGCCTCCTCAGGGCAGGATATTAGAGAGGTCTGGAACACCTCAACATTTATGAAGGCAGTAGGACAGCGCAGGCACTAAAGGCTGCAGAACAATGGTACCACTGCTCTCCACATCTCCAGCTCTTAACCCTTTGATAACAAACCAGTGAGAGATCAAGGCCAGTGTTTGAAGAGTGTGTGATGAGTATTGGTGACCGACAATGACACAAATATATGACATATTCTTGCATGAAATGTTATCGCTGCTACATTGAAAGAATGCTTGTTGGTTGTGTGACTGCGTGGTTTGGTGAGATCACAACCAGAGAATGAGCTGTGAGGCCAGAGAGAGAGCAGAGAGAGAGCAGAGAGAGAGCAGAGAGAGAGCAAAGAGAAGCCAGAGAGAGAGCAGAGAGAGAGCAGAGAGAGGCCAGAGAGAGGCCAGAGAGAGAGCAGAGAGAGGCCAGAGAGAGACCAGAGAGAGAGCAGAGAGAGACCAGAGAGAGACCAGAGGAAGAGCAAAGAGAGAGAGCAGAGAAAAACCAGAAAGAGGCCAGAGAGAGACCAGAGAGAGGCCAGAGAGAGACCAGAGAGAGACCAGAGAGAAACCAGAGAGAGACCAGAGAGAACCAGCGAGAGACCAGAGAGAGGCCAGAGAGAGCAGAGAGAGACCAAAAAGAGACCAGAGAGAGCAGAGAGAGGCCAGAGAGAGGCCAGAGAGAGCAAAGAGAGAGACCAAAAAGAGACCAGAGAGAGACCAGAGAGAGACCAGAGAGAGACCAGAGAGAGGTGCTCCGCTCTGAAAGAGGACTGTGATCTGTCTGTTCTGGAGGTTATTTATGAATCCAAACTCCTAAATCCAACTCTTAGAATAATCAGTGACTCTTCTGGCCCCAGGAAAAGCTATGTATCTTAGTCCTTCTGGCAGAAGATATCGTTGGCTGAGGTGCAGGACATGCTAACATGCTAACAGCTTCTTTCCACAAACTGTTATCAGTTTGAGCAAAGCACTTTAATGATCTTCTATTTAAACTTTTTTTGTTGATCAATTTCTTGCACTTTTTTTTAGCTTGTTTTATCACGTACTCGTCTGTTGCACACTGGGGACTTTTCCACATGTATTCCAATGTGGTTTTACTGCAAATGGCAAATAAAGTGACTCTGATTGTGTTAGCCTGATACTGCATCGTGTGACTAAGAGCATTTGTGTTTCATTTTCCCTGGAAGAGAAAAGGACCAGACAGAGAGGCTTGTCGTCGCTGGCCGAGGACCACTCGGCTCCGCTCAGCGCCCTCATCTCCATAATGGCTTCCATTCGCTCATAAAAGCACAGATCCATGGGAAACCAGGACAGGCCATCACATACTTTAGACTTTAGGTGGTCCACAGATTCCTCCAGCCTCAAAACTGTTTACTTTATTACATTTATTATCTAACTTTTATTCTGTATTTATTTGTTTTATTAATTTGGATTGGACAGAGTGTGTTCAGGAACAGAAGGAGCTGTAAATACAGCAGAGTGTAGCAGTGTAACACACACTCATTCAACTCTCACCTTTTATACATCTTTTAATGATAGGGGAAACCGGAGCACCCAGAGGAAACATACACAGACAAAGCAAACTCCACACAAAATGGTCCTGGAGGGGTGTGGATGCAGGACTGAGGCCAAACTTCATGTTGAGACTAAAGAACTGAAGCTGGAACTCAAAGTTTGGCCTTAATGTCCATCCATCCATCTTCCCCTTAATCCATTTCTGGGTCGGGGTGGCAGTCAGAGCTGGACCCAGTACACAGAGCACCAGCCCCTCACTGATCCTCCTGCTGGTGCTGGGTCCACAGGAGCATGGCTGCTCTTTTCAGCGACGATACAGCCTTGATCTTTCATCAGGGGCTTCAGGCATTGTGGGGCTAAGTGTCTTGCCCAAGGACACAACGGCAGCAGACATCAGTGGGAGTCTTAAGGTTTTATCTTCATACATTAATGGAATCAGACGTATAAAAGAGTGAATGGCAAACCTCTGCTGACCACGGTGTTATTGTCTGCGCCTGCTCTGTGGGCTCCTCTGGTGTGTATCTCTAGCCTCTGTTTACGTCCCTGTGGGGCCCTCAGCCCTAATCCTTGTCAACACATTAGTGTTTTATTGGGTGGGTGAACAGCGGAGCGACGGCTGCTGTATTGGCATCTCCCGGGCCAACATAAACACATCTGACATGAACAACACGAGGGCTGGACAAATGTGAGCTTGTCTCTGAGCGTGTCGAGGATTACAGCAGAGATGACCTGCTTCAGCCAAGGCTCCCAAAAACATTCAAGTCAGAACAAACATGTTGGACCTCAGCTTCCACTGATGCGTTGCTCGTCTGGCTGTAACTTTTTCTTTATGACACTACCCTGCCTGTCACTTACTGGTCAATTAAAACTCCATACATGATGGTGAAAATGTCTGGTCTCAGTTGCAGACATGATGTTTATACTCATTGTTAGCATTTATTGTGGGGTTTAATTCAGAGCTTCTTTAATAACAGTCTTAAGAGAGTGACTTTTAAGACTGTATGGATGTGACTCTACATCCACAACATTCAGACCACTGGAGGATGTTCAAGTATTCACAACATGATCCTGAACCCTATCTCCATAAACATCAGACAGGCGTTGGTCCGAAGAGGCAGACATGTTGTCGGTTCAAACTATGGTTCTCTCAAATGTAATTGTTGTCACATTTCTTTGATTCTTAGGCCAGAGGAGTTTGTGGTCAGTTTTACTGTGGGAGAGAGCAGAAGCGACGGGAGATGCCAACAGAGTGATTGATTGATGGTCAGACGGTACTATGTGTGTGTATTTGACACATGGTTTGGATCCGCGGAGGTTGCATGTGGCAGACTCTCATCATGTTTAGTAATATCAGTGAGCGCCGTGTAGGCACCGGTTTGTGTCTGTGTGGATGGGTGTGGAGCGGACAGACGGATGCGTGACTGCAGGACACTGATGTAGCGACATGGTTATGGAGATTTTGCAATCATTTTCTTTTAAAGAGAGAGAAAGAGCAAAAGCATTCTTTCAGAGTCTCATCATGAGCAGAGCCTGGTCTGATCTAATGGACTCCAGACGGCGACAAGTGTTCCACAGAACGACCAGAGGACTTCCACTCAGACACATGCACTCAGACACGTTCACATCACCAACGGAAGATCACCAGACAAACCAGAGCAGAGACTTATGCCTAGCGTACATGGGACTGGCAACTGATTATATCCGTCGCATATGAGTTGCTGCCCCGCACACATCGACAATCTGGCGAAAACGGGCCACTCCTGTATCAGACCAGTCTGGGGAATAACAGCAACTGGCCTCAGCTACAGTGTGTTTTCAGACATAAACTGTAGAGGGCGCTATACACACAATACACACATGTTGTTGGAGCACATCGGGTCATATCTCCGGATCTGAGGACAACTAGTCAAAAGCCAAAAAAAAAAAAGTAGAAAAAAAAGTAGAACACGGGCAACTGACTGAATCCGGAGATTGACTGTTTATCTCCAGTTGTAATAGCGCTCACATCGACCGATTTCAACTGATCCTCTCCATCATCTACTCTCAGTCGCCAACTAGATGTCTCCAGTTACTCTGTCCATGTGCGCAGGGCTTTAGGAAATCAAATGTATAAAGTTTGGGGCGACAGTGGCTCAGTTGGTAGAGCATTGGCCTTTAAGCCCGAAGGTCGTGGGTTCGAGCCCACCATGAGACCTTCTCCATGACTCCCACTGCTGTCATTGTGTCCTTGGGCAAGACACTTAACCCACCTTGCCTATAAGGAGCGATGAAGTGATGTCCGCTGCTTGCCTTGATGTGTGTATCTGTGGATGCTTCAAACTGAAATTTCCCCAGGGTGGGACGAATACAAGACCATCTTCTTCTTCATTATGTTTGATGCTCAGAAGGTTCTAATGATAAGAAAAAGAAACTAGTACTGCCTGATGACCTGACATGTTTTGTTTTGACAGACGTCCGCCTTCGTCAGAGAAGACAGGTGATGGTGTGACGTGTTTCTGATCAGCTGTTGTTACCGGTTGTGGCCAGTCTGACAGACCGGACGATCAACGAAGGAGAGAGCAACGAAGGAGAACCTAACATTGACCACTACACCAGAGAAAATCACATGATGGACTAAGACAAAACAAAAAATAGAGATGGAGACGAGAGACAAAGAAATCATGAAGGAGGGAACACGGACCATCAACAGAGACGAGGGGGCCTTCACCTTGGCTCACACTCGGCTCACACTCGGCTCACACTCGGCTCACACTCGGCTCACACTCGGCTCACACTCGGCTCACACTCGGCTCACACTCGGCTCACACTTGGGATTCACTTGGCTCACACTTGGCTCACACTCGGCTCACACTCGGCTCACACTCGGCTCACACTTGGCTCACACTTGGGATTCACTTGGCTCACACTCGGCTCACACTCGGCCCACACTCGGCTCACACTCGGCTCACACTCGGCTTACACTCGGCTCACACTTGGGATTCACTTGGCTCACACTCGGCTCACACTCGGCTCACACTCGGCTCACACTTGGGATTCACTTGGCTCACACTCGGCTCACACTCGGCTCACACTCGGCTCACACTCGGCTCACACTCGGCTCACACTCGGCTCACACTCGGCTCACACTCGGCTCACACTCGGCTCACACTCGGCTCACACTTGGGATTCACTTGGCTCACACTCGGCTCACACTCGGCTCACACTCGGCTCACACTCGGCTCACACTTGGCTCACACTTGGCTCACACTTGGCTCACACTCGGCTCACACTTGGCCCACACTTGGCTCACATTTGGCTCACACTCGGCTCACACTCGGCTCACACTCGGCTCACACTCGGCTCACACTCGGCTCACACTCGGCTCACACTCGGCTCACACTTGGGATTCACTTGGCTCACACTCGGCTCACACTCGGCTCACACTCGGCTCACACTCGGCTCACACTTGGGATTCACTTGGCTCACACTCGGCTCACACTCGGCTCACACTCGGCTCACACTTGGGATTCACTTGGCTCACACTCGGCTCACACTCGGCTCACACTCGGCTCACACTCGGCTCACACTTGGCTCACACTTGGCTCACACTCGGCTCACACTCGGCTCACACTCGGCTCACACTTGGCTCACACTCGGCTCACACTCGGCTCACACTTGGGATTCACTTGGCTCACACTCGGCTCACACTCGGCTCACACTCGGCTCACACTCGGCTCACACTCGGCTCACACTCGGCTCACACTTGGCTCACACTCGGCTCACACTCGGCTCACACTCGGCTCACACTCGGCTCACACTTGGCCCACACTTGGCTCACATTCGGCTCACACTCGGCTCACACTTGGCTCACACTTGGCCCACACTTGGCTCACATTCGGCTCACACTCGGCTCACACTTGGCCCACACTTGGCTCACATTCGGCTCACACTCGGCTCACACTTGGCTCACACTCGGCTCACACTTGGGATTCACTTCTCCAGAGAGCGCAGCAATCCACACTTTTGCCACATTAAAAGAACCTTCTAAGTTTAGGAAATTGTCTGTGGAAAGGTAACAAAGTACCGGTACTTTACTCTTGTGCAACCTGTAAAAAATGCAATTCTTACTGTAGCAAGGGATTATGTTGGATTTGTTTTGTTTGTGAAAGACGAGAAGCTCATTATGGCTTTGAAAAGAAAATGAAAGAAGCCCGAGTCTGTTAGCTTAATGCTAACGAAAGTGCTGTCATTAACAATTATTGTATTAATCGATTGTTTCACATTTTGTTTTTTTGATTAATCGATTAAATGTTTATGTCCCAAAAGGTCAGTGAATATGGGATTTATTTTACATTTGACAAAAAACTGCAGAGATGTTCCCTGGAGAACAGCTACATAGAGATAACTTGTTACCTTTGAGTTGTCTGAAAAAAAAAAAAAACCTTTTCATTTAATTCTACAATCTTTCTAGAACTACCATCGCCTGGCTTTAGCAATTAATTATAATTTCCTACATGTACATCTGGGTCTGATCCTAGTGGCTGTAGTTTTCTTGGTTGAATCCCCTCCAACCAATCAGAGAGCGGGGGAGGCGGTTTGTAGGAAGGTGCGATCCAAGATGGCGCCGTATTCAGATGAATGGTTTGTGCTCAGCAGTGATGGTAATAACAGCGTTACTTTTTTCAGTAACAAGTAATCTAACTAATTACTTTGACTGTAACTATAACGCCGTTATCATTGCTGACGTAGTTATCTACGCTCAAACTATTATCTGGACTTAA